ACATTGTTTCAGAAGCTAAAAATTTTTAGAAGACTAAAATAAAGTTAAATTTCAGAAACTAAAATCATTAGTTTCAAGTTTTATGAACTAAAATTAGATTAAGATTAAATTTTAAAACATAAAAATGATGTTAATTTTTTTCGCCTTTTTTGTGCGCATTCATGCCAAGTTAAAGATCTTTATCTCATGCTGCTTTTATATATATAAGATATAATACTATAAAAGAACCATACACTTCTCTCGTGAGCCTATAGTTAGTATAAGAAATGACAAATGAAATATTTATTTTTATGTTAATTTTAAATACGATTAATAAAGTCTACAAAAGTGGTCAATGCAACTGCTGTACTAGTACTTGGATGTTAATTTTTCTAAATCATGATGGCATGAATTTAAACTAAGCCATTATACTTAATTAAGTGAGACCTAATCCCTTATATTAATTAGGATCAATGCATTTGGCCGACCCATCAATAATCAATTCAAATATTTTATTTAATTATAGGTGCACGGGTGGGATCTAGGCAGGATAGGGATTCTAATTATTAAAACTCTTGATGTATTTATTTAATTTCGTGACAGTCCAAACTTAATGTTTGAGTAAGCAAAAGTATCAAGTTATTACAAATATTTTTTAATATAAGAGCTATTTAATTAATTGAGTATATTAAGAAAGTTAGTTAGTTATTTATTTGTAAAAAATATGAATTGATTTTGGGAGAATTACAAAATAAGTCTTAGAAGTTATCATTTTCTACTTTGAAATTTATTCTTACAAGTTGTTTAGGTTGTTATTAAAACTTTTTAGTAATTATTTTTTTTCTTGGGATCTCATTATAATTCTCCTATTAATTTTTCTAAAGTGTGTCCTTTTAATTATGACCATCTTTGGATGGGAATGTTTAATATGTGTAATCAATAAGGATATTTTAGATAATAAATTATAAATTTGAAAGATAGTAAATTGAGATATTATATTTAAGATCAAATTTAATTCTATAATTAACTATTATATCAAAGATTGGAGACAATAGTAATAACTTGTGTTTTGATGTGCTATTGTGATATAGTTGTTTGGTTCATCCTTACAACCATTCTTGTAGAAAAGGCAAAATGCTAATCTACATATTTTCAGGATTCATTATTTTCGATCTACGACTCTTCATTTACAATTTCTTTCTTTTAAGAAGTGACCCTTTGAAAATCTTATGTATTAAGAAGCAATTTTTATATCTTATGGCTTTTTCAAGTGTCTCTTGATGTTCAACACAAAATCCCCTTTTCTTTCGGGTTACTGAATCGAATTTGATCTTGTCCTCCTTCTCTCTCTTCTTTGTAGAAATTTTATTTTACATTTAATATAACATTTTGTGCTATATAAAAAAACTATTAGGATTAATACAATTTTGGGTGCCTCAAGTTTGTTTTTACTTTAATGTTGGTCCTTCAAGTTTTTTTTTATTTAAAATATTAGTTTATATAATTTAATAAATACTTAGACTGTTTTGCCTTTTAAGATACCAAAACTTAAAGTTTGAAACTTGAGTAACTAAAACCAAAATGAGGACAAACTTAAAGAACTAAAGATTATATTAACCCAAACTATTAATATGTATAACTTGGATTATTATAGTTTTTTTTACCAGCACTTGGATTATTACAATTGTTTTGTTGACACCTGAATATAATTATATCAGGTAGTAATTGGTGAGAACAATAACTCGACATAGCCTTATCTTTTAAAAAAGTGCTTTAATTTCGGCCTGTTTGATGATTGTTTCCTTAATTTACACTTAAAATGCATGAAATTATATAACCCTTTTTATTAAAATAATGAGTAAAACTTTATTGGATTGAGAATTTCAACAAATTTTTTTTTTAATAATTCCTTGATGTCCACTATATATCATGCCTAACTAATTAAAGATCCTTCTGTCATTTAAACAAGAAAAATGCTTCCCTCTTAACATCCAATTTGAAAAGGTTCCATCCATATATAAATAAAAAAATCAGTTTGGCCCCAAAAAATGGGAAAACAATTCAGTCCTTTTCTTTTGATAATAAACTCTAATAATCACCTGGTGAAAAAAAATTCTTTCGGTTCTTAATATAATACTCATTTAACTAATTTGATTAGATTAAGGAAGTTAGATGAGTTATTTAATTATAAAAAATGTGACATATTTTTTTCTAAAATACTATAATCATCTTTCTTAATACTCCCTCTCCCTCTTCTATTTGATTATGGTTGAGGGAGTGTGTATGGATAATTTAAAGAAAACTGATAAATATCAGAAATTGATCTTATATTTAAGATCAAAATCAACTCAATAATTGAGTCCTATATCAAGGATTGGAAGAGTACTTTTATTTTTTAACGTAATTATCTAATATCCAGTATTATTGGATTATTTCATCATTATTGAATTCAATCGAATATAGCTTTCCGGCCTGGAAACTGGCATATTATAGATTCGGGCCCAGGATTATATAGGTTTGGGCCTAAAAGTATCTTCATGGTTTTATTGGGCCAGATAATTCATAGTGCCTGAAGTATAAAATGTGTTGGTTACTTTTTCAGTAATAACAAGGAATGGTTAGAACCTATGGCGGTTGGGTTTAGCGGAAGGGGCTAGTCTTTTATAATGTGATGAACCAAGATTCAGTGTCTCTAATAGAAGGATACCTATAATTTAGCAAACAAAAAAAAAGGAATGGTTAGATCTGGTAGAAGAGTCTAGTCTTACATAATGTGAGGAGTCAAGATATGCATTTTTATTAAAAAAATGCATCCATATTTAGTAACTAATAATGGCTCAAATAGAATTGTTTTTAATAGGAGGGAACTTGTGTTTAAAAAAACAAAAATCAAATAACCCATTTAAATCAAGGATGTCAAAGTATATGAAGACCCAAGGGGCCGCTTCACTTAGTCTCCTGCTAGTCAACCCCTCCCCAGGTGGTCTTTTTTGATCAACTGATTCTTTGTGATAGCACCATTATAATATACACAAGATTTTAAGAAAAATATTTTAATATAAGTAATCCTCCAGTCGTAAATATAAAAACTTTTATACTATGTATAAGGGTTTTATATTTAGGGCTGGAGGAGTATATAAGTACCCTCTCTTATTTTTAACATAAGATTTATTTTGTAATATGATTTATGTAACAAAATATGTTTTACATGAAAGACTAAAGGAATAATAAATATTATATACCTCATTATTTGCTATTATATTTGTAACTTTGTATTTCATAATATTAATGTAGGCATTTTGTTTATATAATATTTGATATTTGATACTATTGGATTACATTTGATTATTGTGGAGCCTAAGATGAAAGGTAGCTCTCCCAGACAAATATGTGCACACCTTTTCTCTTGAATAAACATTAATAGAGATCATATTTCATTTTTCATTATAAAAAGTTATGGTTAATATAAATTTTCATCCTTCAAATTTGTTATCATTTTCATTTTGGTCTCTCAAGTTTCAAATCATAGGTTTTAATCCCTTAACTTTCTTTTAATTTAAAACATTGATTCTTATAATTTAATAAAAATCTAGACCATTTTACTTTTTGAGGGACCAAAATTTACAATTTGAAACTTGAGGAACTAAAATCAAAATAAGGATAAACTTGATAGATCAAATATTATATTAATCCTAAAAGTTATTATACTTCAATTAATAATAGTGCAACTTATATTTGACAAAATGTGAGTTCGAACCCTAGGTTTTTTATGCGTTTTCTTTGAGATAACATTAAAGAATTTTTTCCAATAAAAATAAAAATGACATTACCTTCGATTCTAAATATAAGATTTACTTGTTTAGATTCATGATTAATAAACACACTCATGTAAATTGAAACAATTTACCCTATAAATTATATTATATATATAGAACTGAGGGTATAATATATTTTTAGATGAAACCAATTTGTAATCTTAAGGAAGTAAAAATGATTAACAGTATGAATATGATGACTTTAATTTCTATTAAAATTTACAAGTCTTATGCTAAGAACATATTTTATACATTTCAAATAAAAAAGAAGATATCTAAAAGTGTTCTGATTAGTTTTTCAAAACTAATTTTGCAGTTTTCCTGATGAACAGATAAGTATGTGAAAATTTTTATGGGTTTTTCAAATACCCCTAAACAGAATATTAAACATTTTAGTTAATCAATCAACCAAACAATCTCAGTATATGGAAGAATCCGCGTCGTGGGGTACGTTCTGTAAGCTGTCATGCAGTCATGCACAAGGTGACACAATATTCCGAGGAGAATTTCTTGCTCGCCGAACTACGTAAGTCGCAAATTGATGACTGAACCACAAGTTAAATTACCTCAGCCAGACGTTTGATCTCGGTGAGAATCGCAATCATGAATCCCGATGATTATCTTGAAGCTTTTTGGTCTTTATGTTCAAGAAGCCAACGATGCCAATCAAGCTACGCTATGGGAAGAAGAAGAAACAAGAAAGAAAAAGGAATACCGATGACAAATTAGTAAATTACACTTTCAGCAACCAAAGAAATCAAAAGTTGAGAGCATCTGGTTCTAGCTGCTTTGTTGGGCGAATCAAGAAAAGCATATCTTAGCTTAACGCGCAAATGAGATGCGTCTTTTATCGACGCAATTTTCCACTTGTTTCATATGAATTAGGTCTTTTCAGTGAATCTCGGCGTTTGGGGCCAGCTTTGCACTTCAGGATTGACTAAATTGTACTCCGACCTATCAAATTCAGCACCCTACATTTGCCTCAAGGGTGCGGTTTGATTCTATATCTACCATAATTTCCGATATCCCATTAATCATTTTTCTGTGTTACTGTAACCATTTTAGAGTATTTTCAGATTTTGTTTATAACGCAACTCTCTTATTATTGATCGCATTCCCTGCGAAGTATTCATAGGATTTCGCTTCGAATGTGCTTTCCTCAAAAGACACTTGCTACGTCTGGGATAAACTTCTTCAATTCGAGCGTGTGCCCCTTGATTTTGAAGTTATTAGTTGGCAATAGCTTTCAGCCTTTCTATACGCTACTGCCTCCCATCATAACAAATGAATTCACAACGGTGAAAGTGGTTTATGTGGTTTCATTTCATCATATGCATTTTGGTCTACTCTCCCTCAGAAAATTACACAGAAAACTATGGATGCTAAACCAAAATGCGGAACCTGCAGAAGGGGTATCTTGTTTCCCACAAGTACAACTGTATATCGTTGCCATAAGTGCCAGACGATTATTTGTTCACGTCCAAATGAGCAAGCAAAGATTAACTGCTCAGGCTGTGGGGGAGAATTTATAGTTCCCATAAAGACTACTGCATACCGATGCTCTATCTGCCAAGCTGTTACTACGACTTCAGGGCATGGGCAATGGAGCTCTGATAGTCCAGTTCCCGGCCAAAAGCTAAAACTTGGTTCTATATTGTTCAAACATAATCGGCCTGACAAGGTGATGTATTGAATTCTTTACACAACAGTATTTTAATTTGAGAGTATCGAGATTATTGAATTGTCTTCAGGAAGTTTTTCTCGAGCATTTTACTTTGCTACCGCATAACGGGGTTAACAGACATATGCTAATATGCAGAGTCATCAGTTGTCATCATCTTCAACAGGGTCCTTCACCTTGTCTACCAGATGTAAAAAGCGAGCAGTGCTCTGCGGAGTTACCTACAAGAAAAGGAGATACAAGCTCAAGGGAACCATTAATGATGTTATGAACATGAGAGAGATGCTGGTTAAAATATTCGATTTCCCTAAAGAGAGCATACGTATACTCACAGGTGTCTCTTGAAACCTTTTAGCTGGTGATACTATCTTGCGTGCTCTTAACTGTTAACTAATATTTAACTTTTCTGCTCGAGTATATGCAGCTTCTCTGAACCCATAATATGTTAAAATGTCCTCAAAAGTTTGTCTTTTGAGCAAAAGCCAATGAATAGCTTGATAAATAAACCTTTACTTTTCCCTTAAGACTTTTATTTGGGAATAAGACAATATGAACTGAACTCCGAATCACCGGGTTATTAAAGACTCTGAGATAGCATCAAGATCTACTGCTAAAAAACTACGTAAAACCTCATATGTAGTTTATTATAATCTTGAACTTCGATAATCCACGGTAAGGTATCTTTGATAAAATTTTGAAGATGAAGAGATTATTATCAGTTTGTTTCTCAAAGCTTTGAAGTAATCTAAATGTAATTGTCATTGAAGCAATTTTTTAGGTAGCATCATTGATGCAAATTTGTCATTTACCAGGGTTCTTTCTCCCTTAGCATCTGATATCTCTTGTGTCCCATAAGTAAATGCTCAACTTTTCCCTTGTTTAATATTGCAAATACTGATATACAGATGAATATCTTTCCAAAATTAAATAAACCAAATTGCAGAAGAAGAGAAAGATCAACGCTTAGTTCCAACGAAGAAGAACATATTAGAGTCCTTAAAGTGGCTTGTGGACGGCTGCCGACCAGGAGACTCACTGGTCTTTTACTTCTCAGGACATGGGTTACAACAGCCTGATTTGAAGGAAGATGAGCTTGATGGGTTCGATGAAACTCTTTGTCCGGTTGATTTTGTGAGAGAAGGCATGATCGTTGACAATGAATTGAACTCTATCCTTGTTTGGCCACTAAAGAATGGCGTCACACTTCATGCTATTGTTGATGCTTGTCATAGTGGCACAATTCTTGATCTTGCCTATGTCTATAAACTAGAGAAGTAAGTCCATTTTGGGTATTTTCTCTGTTTGTTCTGTTTCCAACCAACCCAACTTCGACTTCCTTGAAGTCAAAATGATCAATCTCTACACCATGACGGTTTCAGATCAAACGATTGGTATACCTCGGGCTTGAAATTTTGTTACGTATCTGGCTCTCAACTACTTCATTATAAAGGCCCTAGGAACATTTCCATTCAAATGCCCAAGCTACTAAATCAAAGCCCTTAACCTGTAATATTTAAGGTTAATACAATCTTTAGTTCCTCAAGTTTCAAATCATAGATTTTGATCTCTTAAGTTTTTTTTTCCCAATTTACCCCCGTAATTTAATAAAACCTTGGATCATTTTGTTCCTTGAGGGACTAGAACTTATGGTTTGGAACTTGAAGGTCTAAAACCAACATGAGAACAAATTTAAGGGACCAAAAATTATATTAACCCTTATATTTATTATAATCTGGTAACATTTGTTAACTGCTTGCAGCCATGAGTGGGAGGACAACAAACCACCTGCAAAAGTGCCTATGAGAAAGCATACAAGTGGTGGTCTAGCCATTTCTTTCAGCGCTTGTGAAGATAATCAGATTGCTGTTGATACAACAGTAAAATTCTTTTTTCTTTTTCTTTTTCTTTTTTCCCCCCTATTTTCCCCGCACAATGCAATGTGGATGCTTATTCAGTACTTGTTTTGACCGACTTATGCAGGCTTTTAGAAAGGGAATGCATGGTGTTATGACATATCTTTTTATAAAAGCAATCAAAGAAAACCCAGATATAACATATGGAGGGATCCTAGAGAAGGTCCGAGAGGGAATTGCAGTGGTTAATCAAAAGAGCTGTAATCCCAGAATATTTCATCGTCGTCACCGGCATTATATTTCTCAGGTTGGTTCCTTTCCCGTTCATTGATAGTACTAGCGGGAGAATATATCCTAAGATACTGTTGAGCAGGTGATTCTCTGACTTCTTCACTAGTAGGTGATGATGGCTACCTCGCTAGCAAAACATCTCCTTTGTAAATATAACTGTCATACCCTTGCCGATAAACTTAAGCTTCCAGGTAGGTTGATAAATATCGAACATAATCTTTAAAACCCCATGCCATGTGAGTAGAATATGATTCTTCCCAATTGGGAGATTCTGTCCAGCATAAAATAACCAAACATACAACTCTCAAGCAAGCAGGAACTTTCTGCAAGTTTTCTTGGGCCAGAAGTTTCTCTTTTCAATTTCTTAAGCACAGAATCTGATTATATAGTTCATCAATGGTAATGAAAGTAGCATTGGGTTAACTCCTAAACAATATTAAGAATATCGTGTAACCACCATTCATTTTCTCCTTCCGAATCATAATTAGCATGCATGATTTATATTAACGTGAATTGAATTTACGTGGAAATTTTCAGGATACTATTCTATCCTCATCTGAAAAATTTGATGTTTTTAAGAGGACATTCGCATTATGAGCTGGTAAGGTGGCAATAACAATCTTATCCGTACAACTTTTACTGTCTATTCTGTCATGGTGTTTCCTTCTAGTAGAAGGAGTTCTTGTTTTGTACAATCAAGCGGAGACAATGTTAATTTTTTTTTAGTTTCTTAGTGCAGGGGTTTGCAAACATGGAGTTCTGAAAATAGATCTTGAGATCATGAATGGGGAAACCAGAAATTGAAGCATAAACTGGGTACTTACTCTGACACTTTCAAGTAAACACTTTCAAGAGCGCAAGGGAAAAATGGAGAAATTCACGAAGAGGAAAACAATTTTTTAGAATACTTAACAGGACATCTCTGTCACTTTACTTCTTGACCCAATATTCCTCCCGTTCATCTGTACCACCCATGCCATGAATGTTACGTATGATTTCATGATGTTTTTGCTTTTGTCATAACCTAACTCAGTAATTGGATAAATATATATCATATTCAGTTTAAACGAGAGACAAAACTTTATAGAATATTTTGTCATTCCCCAATAGAAAAAACATTTTGTCGAGAGAGTTTTGCTGAAGAACTAATCATGTAATGGAAGTCGTGAAACATATTTTTATGTTGGGTGTTTATCTATAGCAAACATTCTAAAAATATAAATGATTTGTATCCTCCAATAAGCAAAGCATCTTTGGTTTCCAGAATCAAGAATCTGGTTCCTGCTTCCTTTGTAATGAGAAAGTAAATCAAGAACAGAAACACTTGTTTTAGTCGGAATTGGCATGCTATGAATGGTCTCTATAAATTTAAAAAAGTTTTCACAGTATTCTTCCCCATGAGGACGCAATTTCCATGAAGTGTGAATTTGTCCGTAGCAGCTACTGCTTATGTCCTGTAGCATTGTATCTTTATGAGAATTAGAACTCTGGTTATAATTGAATTCTTCATAAATGTTGTAATAAACCCATTGTTTAATAGACATAACATAATTTTGTTCTATATCAAGTTTTAGGTAGAATTTTTGTCTTGTCAAAATATTGTAGTCTTGCAGAGATTTTCTGTACTAATTGTTGGCCTAATTTGGTTTTATGATCACCATGTCCAGTCATAGGGATGCAGACGTGGAATTGCATATGCAAAAACTGTGTCATATGAGACATTGCGAAGACACAACTTCGATATAAAGTGATAATTCTTTGGTTAGGTGATGTTTAATTAAGACATGTCAGGATGCATAATACGTCTTCACAAACTAACATGCGTAATGGATGAAGTGACGATTCTTTGGTTAGGTCGTGTTTAATTGAGACATGTCAGCTTACACACTACTACACAGACTAACATGCCTAATGGCATAGAATACTTTTCATAACATGTAAATATGCAATTTTCAGTCTAATCTATTCCTTTTCTCGTTGTGACATAATGTAGGCTGGGCAATAAACAATCGAAGATGTACAAACACGGTCCCACTCCCCCCCAAAAAAATAAAAGAAGTCTTAGCAATTGAAATCTAATTGAACAGAATGCATGATTATTCCCCACGCCTTAACAATTGACATCTAATTGTGCATAATGCATATTAATTAACTGGCCCCAGGTAAAACAATCACTCTAAAATGACTCCAACGAGATGTTTTCTGTTCTGGACATTGACCTATCAAATAGTTCAAAAAATGAGCATTTGAATAATTCTTGAGACAGAGTAGCAGATAATCAATATGGACATATTTCCCTCGATTTCCTCAACTAATTAGGAATTTAGTTCAAAAGCATGTGTTTCTGTAAAAGGACTCGCACGAAGGATGAAACCTCTAAACACTGCGTTTACTCTGACTAATGCATTCAGTTTCAGAAGTGTTCTAGATTTCAAGGTGAAGAATGGAATGCAGAGAAGAGGGGTCAAAGTTGACAATTTTATCAAGATATCATCCACTTCCTCCAATTTCCAATTTGGTACTCTACCTTCTTTTTAATATCATTGTAGCACCTGAAAGCATGACAACCTTCTAGTCCTCGAAACATTGTGCAGATATTATTTTATTAGCCTGAAAGGATGATGTTGGAATGAAATCATATTCTCTGATTACTGAAGTGAGACCAAAAAATCTCACATTGAAAATGACACAATATTCGGAGGATTGCACTAGTATTTTTGTCCAGATAAATCATTGGCCAACGGTTCACAGCCGATTATGAGTCAAAGTTTTTAAATTTATAATCATATTAGAAAGCTAGAAATCACGGATTGCTTATTTTGCGGTTCATGTTTTTATTCTTTGTCTACTGTTATATACATTGAAATTGGCAGCAACAAGAAAGTCAAGATATTCTATCTCCACTATAAAAAGCTAGAGGAATCTGATTCTATGCATGGCTCTCCAATCCCCAGAACAGATAAGATTAAATTTTCATAGAGGTACCTCTAATGAGAAGTCTCCTATGGTTTCACGTTTTCTAAAACCTTTCCTTCTTTTATTTGCCTCACCACTCTTAAAAAGAATACAAAAGTAAACCAGACCATGGCAGAGAGAAAAGAAAGGTGCGGCCACTGCGGAAGACTACTGCTAGTGGCACCAGAGGTTCACACCTTCAAGTGTGCAGTGTGCCATGGCATCACTCGGATTGGTCAAGCCAGCAATACACTGAGTCTGGTTTATAACTCTATGTCTCATGCTGCAAACAGGTTAAGAGGGTTCATAAATACTATGATCACTGGTTCATTTAACAGCAATGTAGGCTATGGGATACCTAATTATGGCTATTATCCTCAGCCTCAGCTATTAAGGCCACCAGCTCCGTTGGTTCCTGCCTCTGCATATGGTTCAAAGAGAGCATTGCTGTGTGGAATTTGCTACCATGGACGAAGTTACAGGCTTAAAGGTTCTCTAAATGATGTTAAGTTCATGAGATATTTTCTTATCAACCAGTTTGGATTCCCTGGCGACTCCATTCTTATGCTCACGGGTAATAATTTCATCTCAGTTAACAGTTGCCTAGCTCTTACAGTGGGTCTAACTCAGTGTAAATTATTTATAATGTTCAATTAGTCCTATGAAAGTGTCTTAATTAGAAAAGTCCACGTGTCAGTCGGGTTGGCTTATTTATACGTATCATGGCATAGCACTATGACAGTGGTTCCCCCCCCCCCTCCCTAAAGTATGAAGCAAATACAAATGTACACTGTGATATCTAAATTTAGCCAAATGAAAAATTCGGGATAAAACCTGTTTCGAAATGACAAGAAAGAAAATGGCAATGAGGTACTGGTCTAATTTGAATCATTAGATCTCAGTTTGCTTCGCTCTACACTAATTTCGAACATTTAAAAAACCTATCTTCAGATGATAAGGAGGAGAAAAACCCACTGAAAATCCCGACCAAAAAGAACATTCAAACAGCAATGCGTTGGCTGGTCGAGGGTTGCAGGCCAGGGGACTCACTGGTGTTCCACTTCTCAGGGCATGGCACACAAGAAGTGGACCATAACATGGACGAGATAGACGGGTACGATGAAGCACTATTACCAGTTGATTATGAGCTCAATGGGATGATACTTGATGATGAGATCAATGCAACGATAGTCAGGCCACTGCCTCGTGGTGCAAAACTTCATGCCATTGTTGACGCATGCCACAGTGGGACCATTCTTGATCTACCTTTTGTGTGCAAAATAAGCAGGTTAGTTGTAGAAAGTCTTGTTTTCTGAAACCTCCTGTTCTTATTGTGAATTAAGTTCTTGACGTAGGTCATGATGGAGAATAAACGAAAAGGAACAAAAATTTTCACAGTACATCAGTTTGATATGTTAATACATTAATGCTTCCTTTTTGATCCGTAAGGGAAGGGTTTTACACCTGGGAAGATCATTCACAGCCGAGGGCTGATTATAAAGGTACAAGAGGAGGGCTTGCAATTTGTATATCAGCTTGCGATGATGCAGGATCCTCTGCAGATACATCAGTTCGTATAATTCATTTCTCATTCTTTTGACTTTCATGTGAATTGATCAAAGGTGTTTGTGAGCATCATGGACTTACGTGGGGTTGCCTGTTTTTGGTAGGCCTTTGGTGGAAAGGTTGTTACTGGTGCCTTGACTTATAGTTTCATACAAGCAGCGCAAAATGAACCAGGATTAACCTATAGTCGCTTGTTCAGTGCCATTCGTGCTGCAATCAGAGGAGCTAAAGTTGGTATAGTTGCCCTAAATGGTCCCATCATTTCACTGCTAAATAAAATGCTAGGCATGGATCGCATCAGACAGGTATTGCATATCTAATATCTATAATATCCATGCTGTCATTATCCATAAAAAAGTATTGCCCATCTACAAACAACCGTTTTAATAAAAAATTACATTTCCTTTTTTATTCATTTTATTCATTCAATCTTGTGCTACTGCCATCACTTGGTCTATCTCTGTACATATATGAATATATATCAGTTCGTAATATTGGATAATTCATCATGATATGTGAAGTTGACGCTACAGAAGGTTTTGAATTGGGCTTTACAGGATGCACAACTATCCTCTTCTGAGAAGTTTGACATACATTCACAGCGGTTTGTGCTATGACTTGGTTTCCTCACATCATTGCTCTTATAAGCAATTATGAGTTCATTCTCAAGTTGAATGAAAAAAAAACAACATTAATTTTCAGAAAATCTTGGACAAGTTGTTGGCCTTTGAATAGTGGAAATTGTAGTCCACATTTAGTTACATTTTAGCTTTGATGGAAATTAATTTCTCTGTTGCATTTTTATATCATGTTAGTGGCAAATGTCTTTACCAATCTATGTAGCCAGCATCCATATTTGTCATGCATTGGACACAAAGAGTATGTTTGGATTACCGTTTGGAATGAAAAAAAACCTATCGGAAAGCGTGAAACTACAGTTTGTGACTTATTTAGGACCAAATGGTTGTTTAGATGGGACTAAAACCCAACCAACTTCTGGCTTTCAATCTCAGTTGGATTCAATGGAGGAAAATATGACTTTTCGATTTCAAACTATAATTTCACGCTTTCCCATATATTGTTATAACTGAACTCACTTTTCTATTTAATCATCTAAACAACTTTTAACTTTTTTAACTGACTTTTTATAAACACCTATCCAAATATAAATCAAATTATATTAACTGACTTTTACTCCAACTTCAATCACAAAAGTCAGTTAGACTAAAAGTCAATTTTACCGAATACCAATCCAAACACAACCTTAGATAGTACCATTTTGGATTCTCTCTTGAGCTTTCTCTCCAGTCGTTTCTGTATACAAGTAAAATTCTGTTCATTCCATTTCAATTTATACAGCTTTTTTTTTTTTGGGGTGTGTGGAGTAATTTCATATTTTATAACATAAGAAAAAATGATTCATTAATGACCTTGTCCCAAAACACCTGCCATTAATTAAGTGTGAGTTAATTAGGGATTAGTATTAAATGAAAGTCATTTTTGAAAGTTTGCATTCTTTATAAAAATTAAGAGTTCGAACTATATCTTCTTGGTATTCACAATTTATTTCAAAAACATCTTATAAATTGAAAGGGAAGAAGTAATAAATTTGAGACTATAAAAACATGGTTTACTGTAAAGTATTAATATTTTGCATTACTTTGAAGCATCCAGACAGGAAGGTAGAAAAATGATGGGAGAGAATCCGAAGACTTTTCTTTTCAATAAAAATACAAATACTATTAAGATAAAAAGATTATAACATAGAGTTAATATACAGCTAATAAAAGAAAATGGAAGAATCACTCATCATAATAGAAATCGTAGTAAAAGATTTTAGCATGGTAAGAAAATCATCCCAAATCGGAAGAAGGGAGAATCCAAATAGTTTATAGCATGTGAATTCTAAAGGTATACACAAGCAAGAAAGGAACAACGTGAGAGTCCATTTTATTATCGGGCTCTTTTTTTTTTAAAAAAAAAAATTCTTAAAGTATGCTAATGCTATCTTCTTGTCTTGTTTGGTATACATGATGAAACAAATTTTTTAAAAAAAATAGTTTTTGGTCTCTGTTTTAAAAATAATATACATAAATTTTTTTAAATAATAAAGATTGGTATAATTCATAATGATGAAACTCACTCAATTAAGTTTTTACCTAAAAAAATTAATGGAAATTAATTATTAAATAAAAATTATAAATATATAATAAATATAATTGGCAAGAACGGGAAAAATAATGTATTCTTTTTCCATGATATCAAAATGGACTTGATCCAACATGAATATCACTCCCTCTAATCTTAATAAAAGAGCTAGATAACTAATTTACAGATATTAAAAATTAGTTAAATTTGTTATTTGTAATAAATATTTATTGATTTCTCCATAATATTTTATTCTAATCATGTTCATTGTAACTACCTTTAAGTAAGAATCCCTTACAACGTGCAAATCAGTGTGGATATTCTGGAAAAAAAATTACTCTTCCGATTCTTAATATAAGATCTAATTATTGAGTTAATTTTGGTCCTAAATATAAGACATATTTCTCATATTTATCAATTTTTTC